AAGTCAGTGAGTCTGTCGTTTTGATATCAATTTAGTTAACTGTTCTCAACTGTATTGTATATTGTTGTGTTGTATTGTTACCCTTTTTGCTGTGAATTATTTTCCTTTTGCTGGTGTTGTTCTGATTGTTTTATTCCTTGTTTTCCGGTTTTAAGGGGAGCAACGACCTTGACCTTGGCGGCCTGTTGAATTTTTGGGCCTGCTAACAAAATATCTACATTTTGCATCCAGTTTCCCGTTTACCAGCATACACTTATCACTTAAATATGAATTCTAACAGAATCATTTACTCTCGTAACTTTATTAATAATTTACGACCAAATGACTTTCATATTCCAAAGAAACCAAGGAGGAAACATCGTAGTGGTTGGCAGAGAGCTCTCAAACGTACACCAATACACTTAACTACGGTCCCCGTCATAATGAACTCAAACTGTCGCTCTCTACCAAATAAGATAATGTATCTACAATCCCTGATGTCAACTGATACGTATCATAACACTGCCATAATCGCATTACAAGAAACGTGGTTGCATGAACTGTATGATGACAACCTTATCTCACTAAAGGACTTTATTTTATTTCGACAAGACCGTCAATGTTGTAATAAGAAAAATGGTGGTGGCGTTGCAACTTTTATTCACTCCAAATGGTCTGTCTCAAATAACATCTGCTTCACCTTCTCAAATGACTTCATTGACTGTATTACTGTCAAATGTCGCCCCAAACATATCCCCAAATACAAACAATTCTATATTACAAACATGTACATTTCTCCTAGTTGCTCTCCATCTGATCTATCTAATTTTGCTGATGAATTCACCATGTTTGCTGCTGCCAACTTCGACAACTCTCTATCCGTTATTACTGGAGACTTCAACACATCAGATTGCTCCTTTCTTGAAGCTCTTGGTCACACAAATATAGTCAAATTTCCCACTCGACTTGACAAAACCCTTGACTTGGTTTTTACCAATGATGAAGGAGTATATGAAACACGTAGACGTTCACCGATACATAACTCCGATCACTGCATTGTCCGCGTTTTGCCAAAAATATACAGCAAAACACATATTAAAATCTTCTCACACCTGTCCACGAAGGCACAACAAAGAAGCTACACATCTGACAACTTACTCAATCTAAGATGCATGTTAAAAGATACCAACTGGGATCTATTCTATGAAAGTACATTAGATGACTCAATCACCAATATAATGGATTATCTTAAGTTCTGCCTTGACATATGCTGTCCCAAACAAACACTGTTCAAACGCCTCGACCGCTTCTCGTCACCCCATCTCAAACAACTTCGCAGGCAAAAAGAAATGTTATATAAATGCAAAGACAAGTTAGGACTTAAAAAGATAAATGCTCAAATCAAATCTGAAATCAAAAATCTTAATGCTATCTATAACCAAACACTTTTATCATGCAAATCTCCAAACAGCATGTGGAAACTTTTCAATGAAATTACTGGCAATAGTAAGCGATGTAATGTTTTTCCCTCTTGTGATGTTAATGCTCTTAATCTGTCTTTTATACGCTCTCCTTCTACCATAACCACTTCTAATGTTACCAATCTTGTAGCTGATAACTTCCAGGACTTCAATACTCTCGATGTTTTGAAATGTCTTAAAACTCTTAAGCCCTCACATAGTCTTGGCCCTGATGGCATACCTGCATATGTCCTAAAACAATGTGCAGATGCTTTATGTTCTCCTCTAACTAATATACTAAATGCTTCTTTCTCCGAAAACGTTGTACCTGTTCCATGGAAAGACATTAAAATAGTCCCTGTCCCTAAACCTGGAAATAGCAAGAACGTAAAGTTCAGACCCATCGCCATCACTTCCCCGTTTCTAAAGCTCATGGAAAAACTAATACTTCTTAAACTCGAACCCTCCCTTAAAAGCTTCGAAGACCCCAAACAATTTGCCTACAGACAGGGTAGGAGTACTTTAGACGCTGCAGCCGTCTTACACAACAGTATTGTCTCATCATTAGACAAAGGTGCCAAATATGTCCGCTGCACGTTTCTTGACTTCACTTCTGCTTTCGACTCTGTACCTAGAAGTCTCTTGCTAAATAAGCTCTCCATGACACAAACCGAGTCTTGGGTCACTAAGTGGTTGCATTCCTACTTTTCAAACAGAATGCAGTACACCGTATACAAAGGTCAATCCTCCTCTGCTGTGCTCACTGAATCTGGTGTCCCCCAAGGTGCTGTACTCTCCCCACTTCTCTTTTCATTCTTCCTACATGACCTACCGTCTTCAAATGATATTAACTTTGTCAAATATGCTGATGACCTAACTGTATCTTTACCTGTCAAATGTCAAAATGACTGCTCTAAACTAAATGGCTTCTTATCAGAAATTAGCCAATGGTCCAAGGAAAACGGTCTAACCTTAAACCCCTCCAAATGCCAAACAGTTAATTTCACCTTTAGGCATAAATCTGACCTAAACAAACTGGTTAGCGCTCACGAGGTGTGCAACATAGATGGCACTGAAATAGAAACTAAGTCGGAAATTAAATACCTAGGCGTCACTCTATCTTCTGATCTTTCCTGGTCGTCTCATATCTTGACGATTTCCAAGAAAATATACCGTCTTACCTTCTACATCAAGAAGTTAAGACATTCTGGTGTAACCCAACCCTTACTACTACAATTTGTTAACTCCCGTATTCTGCCTATAATTCTCTATTGCTCCCCCTTAGTCTTTCCTGGGCTATTGAAGAAAGACTATACCTTATTACGTAGGATGTTAAAGGTTGTCAGCAGGGTAAGCAGCTTGCCACTTAGCCAGCTTGTTAACATTCTGGTGGACAGGCACATGGACTCATGTGAAAAATGGGCGAAGTCCATTTTATCTGACTCACAACACCCTCTACACTCACAACTCTCCCCATGTATCTCTTCAGGGAAAACAAGAAGTCTATATAGGAAACTATATGCCCGCACTAGTAAGTACAAAAACTCATCCATACCCTACCTAGCCCGTGTTCTGTGTGATAAAGAATGCATCAGGCATGAAACCTTTAACTTATTAAATAGTCACTAGAACCAATGAATCTCGTCTTTCCAACTCACATCATTTATAGGTACAACGTTTTCTCGCTCTTCATTCTGTATTTATTTTTGTTATGTGCTGTTTTGTTTCTCTCTTCCTTGCAAACTCTACTTAAAACATTCTTGTTCGTTCTTTTACACTCTGTATATCTCGACCATTTTGCTATCGCTTACGCCAGTAAATATGCTAGTAGTATCTACTTTTGTAACACCTTCAAACATTTTAATTTTGGCTTTGCTACCGACATACTAATATGTTGTTGAGATAATCTTTAAACTATGTAGAACTTTATTTATTGTTAATGTAAACAAAAAACTGGATGCAATATTGTAGTAAAATGCTGAGAATTCCATTCTGTATCACAAGTACTGATTTGGAATAAAGCTTATATAATAATAATAATAATAATAATAATAACCCACAAGGTCGCTTCTCTCTGAACTTTATCTTAATGTAACAATTCTTTTCTCAGGCGTGAGGCTAGCAAGCCCACCCTGTAAACAAAACTGCTACAGAAACTTCAGCACAATGAATCGAAAAAGTAAGACAAGCTTTCATTACTCTCCAGTCTATGTGGAGGTCAACAGCACTACTCATCATCAAAAATAAGATCCGAGTCTTCAACTCCAATGTGAAGTCAGTGCTAGTCACTATACGGATCAGAGACTTGGCGAGTCATAAAGAGCATCTCAAATAAACTACAGACCTTCATTAACAGTTGTCTTCACTCAATACTCAAGATCAGATGGCCAGGAAAGATCACCAACAGGGATCTCTGGAAATGAGCGAACCAACCAGGAACCGATTGTGAAACAAATAGGCAGGAAGAAATGGAGGTGGATTGGCTGGCCATACGCTGAGAAAACCATCCATCAAGTGACATAACTAGACAAGCCATCGCTCGAGTGGAACCCGACCTTAAGGGAAGCGGCGAGTTGGCCGTCAGTGCGATGGTGGGTGACTTGGAGGAGGTCATGTGAAGAGGAGATGAAAGCATGTGGGCAGACTTGGAGCCGAGTGAAAACGTTGGCAGAAAACCGAAGGCAGTGGAGATGCGCAGCTGAAGCCTTATGTTCCTCTAGGAATTAAAGGAAACAATAATAACCATTATCAGCGGAGGAGAAATTTAACAGAGGTTACTTCCTTTCCCTATCTGGATGAGAGGAAGTTTCATTTCAACTAAAAGCGTTAGCACGGATGAAGATGTCAAACCTGGCCCAACATCAGAAATGCAAGGCCCGCCTTCATCAGATTGAAATCAGTTTGGAAATATTCCACACTCTGCAGTATAAAGAACACGATTCAAATTTTCAACAGCGGTGTTCAGTCAGTCAGTCAGTCAATTCTCCCACATGGGTCAGAAACTTGTCACTTGAATCATGAGAAGCATTTCGAACAGCCCACTGTAGACTCTTATCATTGACTGCTTTCTCTTCATACTAAAGGTCAGATCAACAACAAACTATGCAGAACAGGGTAATCAAGAACCTATTTCTCAACGCCAAGAAAAACGTCAAATATCATCGCGCGCCAGGCCATAGGTCAAGTGAAATCTAAATGGGAAACAATGAGTGGGGCGTATATCCAGGAGCGACATGTAAGAGACCATATGAGGAAGATGGTGGCTAGCCAGACAAAGAGCACAGCCGAAAATATAGCAAAGTGGAAATATGTGGTGTTGAAGCCCTACATTCTGCTTGGAGTCAAGGGAAACAGTAATACTGTGGTTCAGGAGGGTGTTAGCCAAGAATTGAACTCCAGATCACATAGGAAATGGTTGACCAACTCACTCTTCACTCCATCAAGTGAAATAATTCCAAATTCACTTTTACTATCAATTTGCAAATGAATACAACTTCATAACAATTGAATTAACAAAAAGTTTAAAGAATCCATTGAACATTGAACAACTTAGTGACTTACTTACTTATACCTTTTGTTTTAATGTACTTAGAAGAATGATTTTTTAAAATTAATCTTCAAGGTGTTGTGATTTTATTGTTTTTATTGTCGTTGTTGTCGTCTTGACGGTTGTCTGTCTTCCACAAAACAGAAAAAACAAATTATGATCACTAAATTTGATCGTTTTAATGTATATATATATATATATATATATATTGAATTTGTAACAATCAAATTATGCAATCCAATTGGTCTAGAAGTAAATTCCATGTTTAATTTATTTCTTAGAGAAATCACATTTAAAGTGTGAAACAGTATTATTTATCCAGTAATCCAGTAGGGAATAATACTGTTTCACACAGTGCAGGATATTTCATCTAATAAATAAATTAATATGGAATTACATGTACTACCACAGTGTCCAAGATTTAAACTTATATAATTTATACAAGTTTAACCAGGGATCGATATCAGTTAAGAGGAGCATTGAAAACCTGCAGGGACTAATGGGCAGCTGTTTCATCCCAGTAGCTTATGAATCATCGGCTGTACGCACTTGACACACCACAGTTTGAACCAAGATCCTTGCTGTTACAAGGCTAGATCGTTTACCATTCAGCCACTAGGACTCGATTCAGTGTCCAGCCCATGAATTCTAACTTCTAAGCAACTCGTGATTTAGCACGACTGGCATCAACCAATGTCATCCATGGGACAGCTGACTGGACGGAACTCACTGGTTACAACTTCTCATTAGACCTCCAGGAAACTCTGTGCTGTAGCCAGTGACTCACTAGCGATCATCAGATTGATTTTCTATAGTTGATTTGTAAGGATTAGTTTTGTTGTTACGAGTTGGTCGCGGATTGATATGAGTTAGAGAAGCACTGAAGACCTGCAGGGAGTACTGAACAGCTGCTGTTTCATCCTAGTTTGCGAATCATCGCCAGTACGCACCCACCACCCACCAGGCTTCAAACACAGCACCTTCCGGTTACAAGACAAGCTGGCTCACATACAGTTAAGCAGCCCCTGGGACCCGATTCAATGGCCAGCTCATGAATTCTAACTTCTAACCAACTCGTGGTTTACCGCGACCCCAACCAATGTCATCAGTGGGACATCCATTCTCACACTTGACTGAATGGATCTCACTGGTTACTACTTCTCACAACAATCCCAGGTAAATAACCACCTGAATAGGGCCATTCGCCAATAAGCGTCTCATCGATATTCAATTACTGGTTTGTAAGGATGTCATTTGTTTTGAAGTTTGATCAAGAAATCGTATCAGTTGAAGAACCATTTCAAACAAGTACGGTAGGCTTGTTACCTCAACCCCCCCTCCCTGCGAGTTTGGGTGAGAGAGGGAGGGGTTGAAACCCAAGACTTTCTGGTTATAAGGCAAACGCATAAGCCATTCACTCACTAGAACCAAATCCCATAGCCTTGTCCTCTAATTGGAATATTCTAGGATTCAACGACGAAGTGTCCAACACACACTGACACACAATAAGATGAAACTATCCTATCCAGTACTCCAGTACTCATCACTTTTCAATAGTTCTCGAATTAAAATCAATTCACAATGTATATGCAAAGAGAATTTATGTAAATGACAATCACTCTAATATTTTTGTATTCATATATGTGTGTGTTTGTGTAGGTATGTGTGTGCATTTGTGTGTCTCCACACACATATGAAAAGACAAATCAATTAAAATGTAATTTAACTGCCAATCATTACAAAATATAACTTTAAAGGGTGATTAAAATGCCTGGAATGTCACTACATATAGAGAAAATGTGAAGAGAAACTATAACTGGAATGCCAAGTAATATCCCACTAAGCATAGGCGGAAAGATAGATAGATAGATAGATAGATAGATAGATAGATAGATAGATAGATAGATAGATAGATAGATAGATAGATAGATAGATAGATAGATAGATAGATAGATAGATAGATAGATAGATAGATAGATAGATAGATAGATAGATAGATAGATAGATAGATAGATAGATAGATAGATAGATAGATAGATAGATAGATAGATAGATAGATAGATAGATAGATAGATAGATAGATAGATAGATAGATAGATAGATAGATAGATAGATAGATAGATAGATAGATAGATAGATAGATAGATAGATAGATAGATAGATAGATAGATAGATAGATAGATAGATAGATAGATAGATAGATAGATAGATAGATAGATAGATAGATAGATAGATAGATAGATAGATAGATAGATAGATAGATAGATAGATAGATAGATAGATAGATAGATAGATAGATAGATAGATAGATAGATAGATAGATAGATAGATAGATAGATAGATAGATAGATAGATAGATAGATAGATAGATAGATAGATAGATAGATAGATAGATAGATAGATAGATAGATAGATAGATAGATAGATAGATAGATAGATAGATAGATAGATAGATAGATAGATAGATAGATAGATAGATAGATAGATAGATAGATAGATAGATAGATAGATAGATAGATAGATAGATAGATAGATAGATAGATAGATAGATAGATAGATAGATAGATAGATAGATAGATAGATAGATAGATAGATAGATAGATAGATAGATAGATAGATAGATAGATAGATAGATAGATAGATAGATAGATAGATAGATAGATAGATAGATAGATAGATAGATAGATAGATAGATAGATAGATAGATAGATAGATAGATAGATAGATAGATAGATAGATAGATAGATAGATAGATAGATAGATAGATAGATAGATAGATAGATAGATAGATAGATAGATAGATAGATAGATAGATAGATAGATAGATAGATAGATAGATAGATAGATAGATAGATAGATAGATAGATAGATAGATAGATAGATAGATAGATAGATAGATAGATAGATAGATAGATAGATAGATAGATAGATAGATAGATAGATAGATAGATAGATAGATAGATAGATAGATAGATAGATAGATAGATAGATAGATAGATAGATAGATAGATAGATAGATAGATAGATAGATAGATAGATAGATAGATAGATAGATAGATAGATAGATAGATAGATAGATAGATAGATAGATAGATAGATAGATAGATAGATAGATAGATAGATAGATAGATAGATAGATAGATAGATAGATAGATAGATAGATAGATAGATAGATAGATAGATAGATAGATAGATAGATAGATAGATAGATAGATAGATAGATAGATAGATAGATAGATAGATAGATAGATAGATAGATAGATAGATAGATAGATAGATAGATAGATAGATAGATAGATAGATAGATAGATAGATAGATAGATAGATAGATAGATAGATAGATAGATAGATAGATAGATAGATAGATAGATAGATAGATAGATAGATAGATAGATAGATAGATAGATAGATAGATAGATAGATAGATAGATAGATGGATAGATCATTCTTTTCATTTTTCGCATCATTCCTACTCAAAAAGAAATATTAACCATATTTCTCATTTTTCTGTCTTCTTCAAAAGTAAAAGAACGTAGAAATTGTGCGAAAAATTATTGACATGAATGAATTGCTTACATCAAAATGATAAATTGTAGACAACTTTATTAGTAGTAGTATTAGTAATAACAATAATAATAATCCCTCTTACGTCATAATACTGTAGTGTAAAATGTGAAACGATGGAAAGGTCGAAAAGTCCATCTACAGGAAAGAAACTTGGACCGGACAATACATTCATTACAACAGTTTCTGCCCTATGAGCTATAATCGGGGATTAGTAAGGACACCCACTGTATGCCAGAGACAGGAAGTTATTCCATTATGGGTAAATTTTGTTTTGATAAAGTCTCACAGTGTTATACAGTAATGTTTACTGATGACGTTTCGAGCACAATTTATTGCTCATAATCATATCAAGGTAATCACACGACTTCCTAAATTCATTTATATAGTTCCATTGTTTTTCTCTTGATTTTCACTTGATTTGATTGGTAATAGTATTTTCCATATTTCAGGTATGAGTGATGAGTCATTCCTATTGCATGTGTTGGGTGTAGACTCGATGAACAAGGATTCAGTAATCAATCTCTCTCTCCACCTACCTAGATTACTTTTTAGAATTTTAACTCTCTCCCACCCTATTGTGTGGTTGTGTGTTAACGCATGCATTGCAATTGCTGAGCTTTTTTCTAAATTACTTATCTTCTCGGGGTCAACCATTCTTACCTTAGCTAAATTCTTATGCTCTGACAATCTGACTACCCCTGACCTACTAGTTTGACCTATGTAGTTGACCTCACAGTCATTGCATGGTATTTTGTAAATAATATTATTTTGTCTAATTGGGTCAACTGGGTCCTTTAACCTACAGAGCTTGTCCCTGAGTGAGTTTGTAGGTTTAAATGCCACCCTAATTCCTATTTTATTCAGAATCCTACGTAGTGTCTCAGATGTCCCCTCTTTATATGGTATAACTGTGGATGACTTATATTCTTTCTTATTTATGTTATTATTACTAGTTTCACAATTATTTTTATTTTGTTTTTGACCTTTAGTGATCTTCCTAATGAATTTTATAGGATAGTTATTCAACACCAACGCTTCTTCTATCTGTTTTAATTCATCATTTAGATCTTTTTTTGTGCTACTTAGTGCCACTGCTCGGTTTGTTAAACATTTAACTAAGCCTGCCTTAACAGTTAAAGGATGAGACGAATTAAAGTCTAAATATCTATTAGAATGCGTTGGTTTTCTATAAACACTAGTGTGTAGTTTGCCTTCTTCTATTCTTTTTATCTTACAATCTAACATAGCTAATTCTCCTTGTTCATTTTCTGATTCAAATGTGAATTTTATTCCCTCAACTTGTGAGTTTATATGTGTCAAGAAGCTAGAGATGTGTTCTGTTTTTAGCACTGTGAAAGTGTCATCCACATATCTCCACCATATTTTCGGAGTAGGGTTAAATGTATTGAGGGCACTATTTTCCCAGCTGTCCATAAATATGTCTGCTACGATAGGGGATATTGGTGATCCCATTGCTACACCTTCTGTTTGTCTATATATTTTGCCTTGGAACTTAAAGATAGTAGATGTGAGGCATAACTGAATTCCTAAAATAATTTCTTCAATGGACAGCTTTGTCCTATGACTGAGTTCCGGATCCGC